GAAACCAATACACTAAAAATCATACAAACCTAAAAGGTGGGAAAAGGTAAAAAGATAAAAGATAAAACAATGGTTCATACTTTACATACCACTGCATAATACATTTCCTAACAAAAGAAAAGGTTCATAGTTCAGTACCTTGATTTCCATAATCCGCACGCATGAAGTAACTCAGAAAGTGCAGAAAAAAGAAACAATAAAGCAAACAGCCTATACTCTCCCAGAATATAAATGTAAAACACAGATGAATATGCATTCAAAGATGTCTACCACAACTATCAATATTTTTTCATGCCAACATCACCAGTAATGGAATAAAAAAGAAATTCCAAACATTATCTCTAAATTATGTATAAAACTTGTCCTCGTTGAATATTGCTTTACACTACAACAACAACAAGCCTTTATCCCACTAGGTGGGGTCGGCTACATGATTGCAAGACGCCATTGTGTTCTATCATTTATCAAGCTTTTAGGAATATTATTAATTAAGAGATCGCGTTCAACAACTTCCAAGAGTGTTCTCTTAGGCCTTCCTCTACCTCTCTTAATCGGACTCAAAGTTATATGTTCCACTCTTCTCACTGGTGCCTCTCTTGGTCTTCTTTGTACATGCCCAAACCATCTCAACCGATTTTCTACCATTTTTTCCTCAATAGGTGCCACCCTCACTTTTTCGCGTACGTGCTCATTTCGAATTTTATCTTTACGTGTATGTCCGCACATCCATCGTAACATTCTCATCTCTGCTACTCCAACTTTATGCTCTTGCTGTCCCGTTAGAGCCCAGCATTCACTACTATATAACATTGCCGGTCTGATAGCAGTGCGATAAAACTTTCCTTTAAGTTTATTAGGCACTTTACGGTCACAAAATAACTCCTTTAGCTTTTCTCCAATTAAACCACCCAGCTTGAATTCTATGTGAAATATCTCCACTGATTTCGCCATCATTTTGAATAATGGCTCCCAAATATCTAAACTTTTCACTTGAGGTATAATTTGATCTCCCAATTTTACTTCCAATTATTGTCGAATATTCCTTTACCAAATTTACAATATAAATATTCCGTCTTACTTCTACTCAGACGAAAACCTTTCGACTCCAATGTCCTCCTCCATAACTCAAGTTTACAATTAACCTCTTCTCTTGTCTCTGCTATAAGAACTATATCATCCGCGAAGAGCATACATTTCGGGATTTCCTCTTGAATATGTTCCGTCAAAACATTTAAAATCAAGTTGAACAAATAAGGACTCAGAGATGATCCCTGATGTAGTCCAATCTTTATAGGAAAATCCTTTGTTTGACCACTAGGTGTTCTTATACAAGTTTTTACCCCCTCATACATATCTTGTATGGCTTTAATATAAGCAATCCGTACTCCCTTTTTTTCCAATGCTTTCCAAAGCACTTCTCTTGGTATACGGTCATAAGCTTTTTTCCAAATCAATAAAAACCATGTGTAGATCTTTATCTTTACAACGATATTTTTCTATTAATCCCCTTAGTAGATAAATCGCCTCTGTAGTTGATCTACCTGGCATAAAACCAAATTGATTCTCAGAAATACTTGTCTCCAATCTCAACCTGTGCTCAATTACTTTCTCCCACAATTTCATTGTGTGGCTCATGAGTTTAATCCCTCTATAGTTAGTACAATTCTGAATATCTCCTTTATTTTTATAAATAGGAATTAATGTACTTCTCCTCCACTCATCAGGCATTTTCTTGAACCGTAAAATCACATTAAATAACTTAGTTAACCATCTCACCCCTTCTTCACCTAAACATTTCCACGCTTCGATAGATATACAATCAGGTCCGTTGGCTCTACCATTTGCCATTTTCTTAAGAGCTTCCTTTACCTCCTTATCACGTATTATTCGATAGAATGACAAATTTTGTTCTCCTTCACCAGTTACTAAATCCTCCAAGTTACTAGATGAATCCTCTCCATCATTGAAAAGTTTAGAAAAGTAAGTCTCCCATCTATTTTTAATTTCATCATCTGTAACTAAAATTCTTCCCTCTTCATCCTTAATACACCTTACCTGTTCTAGATCTCTTGATTTTCTTTCCCTACTCTTGGCAATTTTATAAATATTTTGCTCTCCTTCCTTCGTCTCAAGGTTCTTATAAAATTCTTCAAAAGCTTTAGAACGAGCTTCACCCACAGCTCTCTTAGTTTCCTTCTTAGCCATACGGTACCTCTCCCAATTTTCCTCATTGTTACACAAATGTATGGCTTTAAAACAGTTCTTCTTATACTTGATTTTGTCCTATACACTATTATTCCACCACCAAGACTCCTTATCTCTCGGACCAGAACCTTTCGATTCTCCCAAAACTACTTTTGCAACCTCCCGTATCTTTTTAGCCATATCCTCCCATATGATGTTAGCACTTCCCTGAGATTCCCAAATTCCTTTATCCAAAAGATTTCGCTTGAAAATATCTTGCTTCTCACCTTTTAATTGCCACCACCTAATCCTTGGTGTTACTACTTGTCGACGTTTTTGGATTTTACTCATAATACACACATCAAGGACTAGACCCTATGTTGTGTCGTTTAGCATCTCCGAGGATCACCTTACAATTTTTACAAAGTCTTCTATCTGTGTTCCTAACCAAAAGAAAATCAATCTGTGACCTTGAGGCTCCACTTTTGTAAGTGATGAGATGCTCATCTCTCTTCTTGAAACAAGTGTTGGCAATCTTAAAATCATACGCCAATGAGAAATCAAGAAGAGTTTGTCCTTCATTGTTTAGCTCTCCAAAACCAAAACCACCATGCACCCTCGCATACTGACCAGCTTCTCTCCCAACATGCCCATTAAAGTCTCCTCCAATAAAAATCTTTTCACTCTGTGGTATATGTCGAATCAACCCCTCCAGATCCTCCCAAAATAATTCCTTAAGACTGATTTCTGTCCCGACTTGCGGCGCATAAGCGCTAACAATATTAACAGTCTCACGTCCAATTATCATTTTTAAGGAAATAATTCTGTCTCCAATTCTGCTAACTTCTACAACGTTCTTCTTCCACTCCTTATCTATAATGATGCCTACTCCATTGCGTGCACTTACTTTTCCTGTATACCAAAGTTTGAAACCTTGAATATCCTTAGCTTCTTCTCCACGCCATTTTGTTTCTTGCAGGCAAAGGATATTGATTTTCCTTTGAATCATAACCCCTACAACCTCTACAGATTTACAATTTAATGTCCCAACATTCCAAGTACCAAATCTAATTTTGCTCTTATGGACTAACTTCTTTAGCCGCGTGCGTCCAGAATGACGCGGTAGCCCTTGCTCATTTAACACTACATCCGGGCGCCGATGCAGCGGCTCCAACTCACTTATCACTGTACTCGAGCCATGCAGCGCGTTACTTACGGGCAACGACCTAGCATTAACATTATAACGTCTATTGTCCATGTTCATGATAGATTCAACAAAGTTTTACATTGGCTGTTGATGGTCCTAACACAACCCTCCTCCTTTACCCGGCTTGGGACCGGCTATAAACATAGGCAGAGTTTGAATATTGCTTTACACTGATCAATTAAAATTTCGTTAACAACTCAAGCATCTTTTTACTTACAAGCTCAAGGGCGATGCATGGGGAGAACATATTGCAAGAAGTATAATAGGAACGGGAATTCAAATGAAATCGATACATACTTAACATATCATTCAAACAATAAATTATCATGCAATGACTCCATAAGAAAAATATAGTAATACCTTGTGATTGGAAATTTTCAAAACAGTCCTTAATCTCATGTTTTTGTACAACTGCAAGATGATCAAGCATATTGTCCTCTGGTTATAAACTATTTATCAGAAGACTCGCAAGTCACTACTTATCAAGTGTCTGATTTGCATCAGTTTCTTGCTCTGTATATGAGGAGGTGATCAAACCAGCGTTCCTCAAAGACTGATCCCCGGTAATTAATTACATAAAAAGCTTATATATTCTACTTAAATGGGTTGGCCATTGTTGCTCAAAGACTGATCCGAGTAATTAATTATATAACGAAGTTTATATATTTTCCTTCTAATTGAAGGAGTCACGCCAAGAGATGCGGATGAGCATGTGATGTGTGGATGGCTAGGCAAGAGGCAATGGTTTCAAATTCAAGATAGACAATTTCTTAAGATTAAACTGCAACATTTTTTTAGGTGAATCTTTTGTCATGACATGTATGACTTGTATTTGATTAAACTGAAGAATTAGATTGCTGAGATACGCATAAAATGACTCATACAATAGATAACTGCAATATTATTGTTATTGTTTTTAAATTGTTCCTCTGCTTATATTAAAACTTAGAAGTAATTGACCAGTTGCACTATAGACAGCATAAAACTTTTGTAAACAGAAATGTTCCTTTTTCAGCCTTGTAAGTTGCAAGGAGATACACTCTGATACATCTATAGTATAAGAAATTTAAGTCAATGTTGAGAAATCTTAAAATACCAACTACAATTCCTATAACAAATTAAGCCACAAGTAATGATAAGAAACCGTTGGATAATACTTATCTGAAGAAGGATTTCACTGAAAAAGGAAGAGAGGATTGAAAAAAGTAACCATGGACCACCTAGCATACAAGTGTTCACAATATCTTCTAACAGTTGTGAAGTGTTCGAGGAAACAAACACTGTAAATTATCAACTACAATGAATGGATTTGATGACTTCTAGTAAGATCACTTGTAACGAGACCTCAGTGGCAGCACAAAATCTAAACTATATTCAGAGCTTTTAGTGGACTACAAATCCACACTATATTCTAAAGTCAACTGAAAAGTACTCTAAGAAAACTGAGGAAACTTTTTACTTGAGACCACTGTTACTGTCATGGGATCATCACTGCGGCAGAAAGACATTCAAGGAGATACACTGACGCATCTACAATATAATAAATTCATGTCAACATTGAGAATTCTTTAGAATACCAACTACAATTGCTATAACAGTTGTTAAGTCCTGTTGCAGAGAGATCAAACATGTAATCAATCATGTAATTGAGTAAAATATATTAAAGAGTAAACTAAACATGGCATTGGTACAACTAAAGCTGCGTAAATACCATAAGCACCTCTATAGAAGCAGAAGAGAAGGACGTGTATTTTTAGACTAAAACACAGATTTATGCTTCTCATAATTCACTTGAAGGGATTGAACATCTGGATTCATCTCTACCAGTCTACATATCTACCCCAACACCAACAAAAAAGAATTGAGCAACTGATTTACTGCTAAATAAACCAAAAAGAATCACACGCTCAATCCCATTCATATAATAATTGCTTTAATTATAATCATCTAGTTTAATGGCCGGTGACAAAGTGACCAATTGTAAATGTGCTTAAGTTCCTGTAGCTCCCGTTGCACAAGCAGATGTTGAAAAGAACAGAGCAAGAAGAAAAGATTTTAGTACAGATGAGACATGAGGCTGAGACAAAAATGCTAAAGTTAGATACAATACTTGTCTCACAATAGATACTAGAGATATAGGGCGTTGAGTCTAATAGTAACACGGAGAGGATTCATCAAAGTAATATGCAGACATAGGACGTTCAAAAAACTGATAAATGGAAAAAACTTTGAGGAGCACACGCCAACCACAAAGGAAATTGTACCCCGCGTACAGCTTTGCTTCAAGAGGACATTTCAAATGGAAGTTTTCAAAATATGATCCTCCAAGAAACTCGATTGGCCAAACTAAGTGGATACCTGTAGCTGCACATTTTGTACTAATTGATGTAGATGTCTTCGTTAAATATAATCAGCAAGTAGCGTGTGGAGGTTTGGTTCAAGACTCAGATGAAAATACTAGAGATCTTGATAGGGGACGCGGAAGTAAAATCATGCTAGTTTAGGGACATAACCCTGAAACAACAAAAACACAAGAACAAAAGGAAAGGGATGAAATTTATGATGGAAATAAAGAAAGGTATGAAGTAAACAATAGGATAATGATCAAAGCGAAGATCCTCTAGAGCACTTGCCTCTAGGAACCTCAACCTTCGAAGACACCGCAAGAGTTGATCACGCTTTTGATCACGTTTGTTTCTCACACGGGATGCCACCACAAAGCACTAAGGCTCACAAGAGTTATAAACTCTAAAATGAATAATTTCATTCAACTTCTGTATTGTTTACAATAGGGAGCATGCTTAATTTATATAGGCTCATAGAAAAGAATATTTCCTAAAATTAAAACCCTAATTTCCTAATACTAAAAGGAGAAATAATATAAAATAATGATAGAATATTCAGCCACATAATTTAGGAAATGTGATCCTGAAATTATGGGATTACAAAATTTAGAAATTAATACTATAATTAATTCTAACTTTTGACTAGACTTAAAATAAAAAATCAAATCAAAGAACCATTAAAATAGGAAATAATTTAGGAGACAATCAAGGGATCATAAAGGATTTAAAATCATGCCACCCTTAACTTCTTCACTAGGGTTTCATGCCTCCTTGCTTGCAAGAGGCTCAACTTGTAGTCTTCCTTGCATTGGGCTAAGGTCTGCATCTCTTGGGCTTGACTCTTCATAAATTTGGATCTTAAATACATTATACACGTATAGATGCTCTCCTTTGGGCTTGAGAGGAGTGCCCCAATGCTCTCCAAGCTCTTGAACTTCTTGCACAAGACAGAACAAGGCTTGCTTCATGGCTTTAGTTCGAGCTCTTATCATTGAACCTTCAATATGTTGTAATGGGTCTTTAGGTACGTTGGATTGGAAGTATTGGGCTCTTTCTATGTCACCATGCTCATGATTACCATCCTCAAGCTTCGTTGCCATTAATGCTATGTCACCCGTGCCATGGTGTCACACCCCAAAAATAAAGGGTGACCGGCAAAGGATGTGATCCATCACACATCCCTTAAGCCTCGAATTGGGTAATCTTTTCATAACTAAAAGATAATTATGTTTTAGTTTGAATTAGAACATACGTAAACATTTTTAGTAGTAATAAAAGTCTCAATATTTTTGTAGAAATTTCGACAGAATCTCCTCCGTAAATAAGATCTCCCAAAAATTCTACAAGACAATATTTCAACCAAAATATCAAGCCAATCAAGGGTAGAGCTCCTTCCAGCTGACAGATAAAATATATAAACACATAAAAAAAAACTGACCACAGACTATGTGGAGCACCTAACAATAAGTTTACAAAATAAAATTTCATAATCAAAACTTTACGTCAAGAGAAAGTTAAATCCTTAGCTCCTCCGCTTCTAATCAATCAAAAACTCCTCAATGTTCAGTGGGTGATTCAACGTCAACTACACTATCTGAAACCAAAAATTATTTTCCAGTGAATAACGTCCCAATAATAAATAATCAAACATAAAAATTTAAAAAAAACACAATGATCTACAAGACTTAATTAAATTCAAAATAAAAAGATTCTATGTAACTTTAAATAAAATCATAATTCATTAAAGTATCGTACCAAATATCATTATCATTTAACTTTAATAAAACAAATAATTACAATAAATAATTGTAAACATGTCATTAATCAAAACCAATGAAAATAGATCCATAAAAATTTAAAAACTCATAAGTATAGAGACTTATCAGAACAAGTAACAAACGTGAACACATAGTCCACGAGGATAAATCACCAAACGTGGCTTATGCCACGAAAACAAACGTGGACACACAGTCCACAAGGTTAAGTAACCAGACGCAGCCGAAGCCACGAAACAGACGTGGGCACATAGTCCACGAGAGTAACTAACCAGACGTGGTCAAAGCCACAAAACAGACGCAGGTACAAGACCCACAAATAACAGATGTAAGAACAAAGCTCACGAAATCCAAACTAGCTAGTAATTGACCATGGCGCGCCAAGGGCTAACGGAACTGCCGTTAGCAACCAGCGTTCTGTATACAGTCCCTTTTTAAATTCACTTTCAGACATGCGAGGAAATCATCACTTTCAAAATATAATTTCTCTTTTTAAAATCTAACTCGCATGAAACATATAAAAGTACCAATATTTCTAAATATAAAAAATTCACAATTAATATCTCATAAACTGTTCACAAATTTTTGTTTTATAATTGGCTTTATCAAATAAAGCACTACTAGAATTTAAGAAAGCATTTTCATCAATATAAAAAGTATAAGTCATGACTTCAAGAAGCAGAGCAATTTAATTAACAAAAGTAACTAAAGCAATAGAAATTTATAAATATCCTTAAATTATTAAATGCAATCTTTTGATAAAGAAAAATTTCTAATATATATTGATTGGGACGTTATCCACTTACCTGTGGTGTTCCCAAATTTTCAAAGATTTTCTCCCTTTTTAGTTCCTATCAAAATCTTCTTCTTCCAAATCCCCTATAAGAATATAAGATAACGCAATTTAATTGAATTCCTATAATTATAAAAATTTCTTTCCAGTTCTAATTCGATTCCAAAATTAAATCATAAGACAACACTATACTTTATAAATTAATAACCATAAAACTTTCAAGAATTCACTTAATCTCTCAATAACATAAATAAATTTTTTCGCAATATTTGATTCAATTTCACAAATGAGCAATACCCAAGCCAATTCATGTTTCTTGCGAGATCCAAGAGAATTATAGAAAAATACCCACTCAAATATGTCCTTTTACCATTTCCAAGTTAAATTCACAAAATCATAGCATCCTAACCGATTATGTCTTCCAACAAATTTAATGAGACTTTTGTAAATGCACAATCAAACAACTCTCTCTCACAAGAATTTTAACAAAAGTCTTCTAGGCACTAACCTCCAAATTTCATGTCCATTTTTTTTTTTACATCATTCAATTCAAACAAAATTTATTTGACTCAAAAACTCTGACCATGTTCATCATAATCATACTTTTAATACATAAATTATAGTTTAATTCCATTCTTCCCTTCCCTCAACAGTCACGGACAGCAGCAAGGCTTAAAAGAAAAACTTGCAATTTCCACAAGGTTACATCATACCTCACACTCACAGGTTGGTCAAGGGAAAGAACAAAAGATGAAAGCTACTCATTTCAAATAAACCCAAATATATATATATACCATAATCTCCATTCTCTTTTTTTTTCTCTTTTCTTTTTTTTTTTTACACAGCACGGCCAGCAGGAGATGTCCAGAAAAAATATAAAAATTTCAGCTTCAACCATTCATTATTCATACGCTCAGTTTCAAACCTCTAACACATCCATACACACATAGAAATTTAAACTCAAGAAGAGCTCAAAGCTTCACGCTACACAGCAACAACAGAGCAGATAAATAAGAGGAGAGAAATGTTTGATTCTTCTGCTCAATAACAACAGTTCCTAAATTAGAGAAGAAGACGAAACTCATGGCTGAAAAAGGAAGAGAAGAACTCACGATTTGTACCACAATACAGTGGTTTACGGAAAACACAGAGCAGGAAAGAAGGAAGAGATCTCGGCGATGTCACAGTAACGGCAAGCGGAGTTTCTACTCCCGTCGATGGCGTGTCGAACGGCGGTGGTCAGAGGTGGCAGAACTAGAAGAGAAGGACGCGAAGACCCAGAGAATAACGAAAGAACGAAGGGGAAAAACAGAGCACCTCTCTTTCTCTCTCACTCTTTCTCTCGCGTCTGGAATGATCGAAAGGGGAAGAGATATTTCATATTTTGAAAGGAGGGTAATTTGGTAAACTCATGAAGCAAAATGCAGAAAAAAAATAAAACTCTTTTAGCTTCATCAGACGAAATGAAAGAAGCTATGTACACATTTTCACTGAACCAACACTCCCTCTGATCATAATTGCCTCAAAATTAATATAATTATAATTTTAAACACAATAATATATATATATATATATTTTATGGGTTATTACACATGGGGTCCATCAGATCTTTTGTTTGGAGAATGGGAAGTATATCTAAAGCAATCTCTTCAAAAATCAATGAGATGCGTTGACCACCAAACCAAATCGGCTCATGATATGGGTGAACAATTTCGAATCCTTCAGACTTGGCCTGATGAATGTGAGCGTGAGGTGTCTTCCTCCATTTCTTCAAAACGACAGTGTTTAAGGTATTAAAAAAATGTAAGGGGGAAAAAAAACAACTAAAGAGAGAATCCTCACCTTGTCGGCCCTTCTTCCTCTTTTCGACAGTCAGCACTCCCACTTTTTTTCAGTTCTTCTTCTTCCATCACCATGCATGAACTCGTTCCATTGATTTGATAAGAATGTTTGCCTCACACGACTGAATCTTTCCCACCTAACAAGGAACCTCTTAAATGAGCAGAAAAAACCATGACTGCCTCCTCTGATTGAAGCTCTAGTTCACATAAAATCACTGAACTCCCAATATCACCTGAAATCCATCGACTACCAGCACAAACCAGCGGCGACAGAGTTTTTGGATCTACGACGACAAGCAGAACTGAGCGGGAAGGAAGGATGGAGCGCTCAACTGTGTCCTCATCTGAATATGAATGGAGGATGCCAAGAACGATGAGAAAGACGCGAAGTGAATAGAAGAGGTGAAGGTTGCATGCTACGTATTTCATCCACAATTTTCCATTCCATGACATTCAGATAGAGGTGAAAAAATGCGAGACGAAGAATGATTCAAGAGTAAAGACAATGGCAACTCGACCTGTAATAGCGTCCATGGCAACTCGATTCACCAAACCCTCATTTACTCGCCCAAAGTTGGTCGACGGGCACGAAGAACCGATAGCACTGAATAGAAAACGCAAAGAACAGTGAAGCAGGGTTTAAGAGAAAAAGAACCAGAACGAAACATCCGGGTGAAAAAAGAGAAAAAAGAGGGAAAATCACAATGAAGGACCTCTAGAGCTATTTATTTATTCAAAAGGGTCAAATGATTTTGAATTTCTTCTGCAGGACAAAGGATCAAATTGTAATTAATTTTAATGTGAAAAGACAAAACTATTCCTTCTTCAAAAAAAAAAAAACCCCCTTCACTATCACAACCCCATCGGAGCTCTAGGTGGCTGGATTGTAACATCCAAGATTTTTGAATCTGAAATAAATTGCTAATTAAGGGATAAATTAGTTAAAAAATAATTAATTAATTTAATTAAGTTTTTGAGTTGTTAATTAGCTTCTTGGGTCATATTTGGCTATAAATTGAGTTAAGATGTAAGTTAGATCAAATCAGGTGGCATTAGGGGGACTTTTTGCTCAATGCATCATGAGCTGCGACGCACGGCACAACCAAACAAGTCAAAATTGTGAAAATGATCAAAAAATGGCTATTTTGGTTGTGAAAAGCTTAGAACTCAAAGGAGAAAAATTTGGGCACTACTTGGGCTTCAATTTGAGTAATTTTCTCACATTTCTCTTCTACCTCTACATCTCATTTTCATTGAATTTGGGAAGTAGGTAAATTTACTTTGAATGAATTAAGCTATGAGTCTATATTTTAAAAATTTCAAGTGACTCTAAAGGTTTGAGATAAGTTTCTTAACCTTGGATAAGTGGTACTATGAAGCTTAGTTGTTGTTTGGTGTAAGTTGGATCAAGCCTTAGCTTAATTATGAGGTTTTGAGGTGTGATAAGTTGAAATATCAAGTGTTATGTTGTGATAGAGTTAGAGAAAAGTTTGAAGGGATTGTGTGAACATATTTGTAATCTTGACAAGCTTCTTTGTTGAGAATATAAGTAAGAAGTGGGAGAATTGGGGTGATATAAGTAGTTAATAGTGCTTGTGTTAATTGAAAATTAACATATAATATTTATTGTTGTAGATTGAGGTTTGGGGAATCTGGCCTTGACACAAGAGGAGATTCAGTATCACAGATAACCCTCTTAGTAGCAAAAGGATTAAGGTAACTAGATAATTTATATTATTTATTACTTTGTATAAGTTATTTACAAGTTATCCTTATATAATTTTGTAAAAGTTAAGTATTTTAGAAAATATGTGGAATATTGATTTGTGAAATTTCATATTTTTGAAGTGTCAAGATTCATTATATTTGTTTAGAAAGTGGTTATACATGGTGAAGTAAAGATATGTAGTGAAATGTGATATGTTAAAAGGTGGGGGTCACTCTAGTGGAATTAGTGGAGATTAAGTCTATACGACACTGATGGCACCTAGGGGCGCTAGGTGCACTTATATTTCTCCTTAGTGCCTGAAAAGGATGCGGTGTTGGAAAGTTATTCTCTTGAGTACTCAGAAGGGTGTAGAGTTTGAAACTATGCTCCGTAGCATCTATAAGATGCGATGTTGGAGTAACGACACCTTAATTACTTGTAACAGGGGGAACCTATAGTCTAAAAGTGGTTTAGGACACTATGGCTGGGTAGTCCTACAATGGATGGTGAACTTGAGGATCATACATGTGGTTTGGTTTTGTGAAATAGCTTACTGGTTCAATCAGGAGTATTAGAGGACTGGATAATTAGCAATCATGCATTTTATTGTGATGAATCATATACGGTGTGATTGTTATGCATATTTTAAAAGCTTGTTTATAACTTGGCATGTTAATCGATAATGTAGATTATCTTAATTACTAATATTTTTATCTCACCTCGTGATTATTATTTTATAGGTTCTACTATCAAGTTTAAGTAAGGGAAGGAATCAAGCAAGAATTAGCTGTTTAGCTCCACTTATACTTGTAATGCCTGATTTTATTTTGAGCTATGTACATAAACTTAAATGCATGATAATATGAGTTGCTAACCAGAAATGCATGTCCTTTTGATTGATTGTACTTGTGTTATACTATGCTATTTTGTATTTTAGCCTCATGTTGTATATGATGTGAATATATGGTGATTTTGTGGTGAAGGGCTAAAATACTAATACAAATATAAGAAATGTTGTATACATGTAGTGATAATGTATATATGGCAATAAAGCCCAAATGGTGTGTGTTTGTAATTTTGTGACTTTGGCCATATAGGTGAAACTAGCATTAACTAGCTAAATTTTGTGTTTAGTAATTAGGTATATATTGGTCCATTAGACTTGGTTCAAATCTCAAAATAGGTTAATAGTATAAGTTTTGAGTTTTGAGTACTTGGATGCTTAAAAATCATTTTAAAAACTGACTTTTGAATCTGAGTTTCTAAAATTCTCATACGGTGTTGGATCATAATAAAACTTACATCATTAATTAGCTTATTGAATATGCTTCGCAAGGACACTTGAATCACTCTAATCAGATATCGAATGCAAAAATGGCACACGTTCGAAATTCATCCTAAAAAGTTGTCATGATAGCATTTGACAGGGACACGTGTTGTGGTGTACGATGCAGAGGCTAAATTGGCCTCTCTGTGCCACATGCCATGACGTGCAGACCACAAGCAACGGCTTTTGTGCTAAAATGCACAAAAATAACATTTTTGACTCTGCTTTTCAAGTGTTTTACTTTTCAAACTTTTTCCTGCCTCCCATATCTTTATAACTCATTATGTTTGAGCTCAAACTATTTATTTAAAAATTTTTTATGGAATCCCAAATATTGCAAATTATTTCTAAAAGATTATTAGTTTTAACCCTTTCGTATTTTACTGTGAACTTAGGAGTAATCTATAATTTCTAATTACCATTATTTGTTGTGATTGTATGGTAAATATTGATAATGTCAAGGCAAACATTATATGGACTACCTGCCAGAGCTCTAATGTTGGTCACCATACCAGCAAGGGGACAAATTAAATTTTTTTTTTAAGGTGATCAAGAAAGGTTTGAACTCACATCCCCTTGGCCACCAAAAGGATAATAAGCCACTAGGCTAACAATTCCTTTCAATTATATATTTTATTTTGTTTAAACTTTCTATTCCAATATTTGTTTAGAGCTTTATGGTTACTTATTATTTTACAAATGGCTACTTATTAAATTACAAATGGGACTTGTTAAAAAAATTTAATATACACTGATTTTTATAAATATTTACTTATTTTTATTACTAGGAATGACAAGTCCTAATTAATAATTTAAAAAGTAATCATTTGTGAAATGATAATTTTCATTACTAGCTTTGAAAATTTCTTTTAATAATTTGAAAAACAAGTCCCCATTAATAATTTAACAAGTAATTATTTGTGAAATAATAAGTTTCGTTATTGGGTTTGAAAATTTCTCTTAATAATTTGATAAGAAAATTTTAGTGAAATAACACATTCATATAAGCTTTTGACATGTAAGTTTTTGGTAATAAAAATAAATAAACAGTTATAAAAACTACTCTGTATTAATTTTTTTTATCAAGTCTCTATTGGTAACTTAACAAGTAACCATTTGTGAAATGATAAGCCTTGTTACTAGTTTTGAAAATTTCTCTTGATAATTTGACAAGTAAATTTTAGCAAAATAATAAGTTCACATAAACTTTTGACATGTAAAATCTTTGTAAACAAATAAATATTTATAAAAATAAGTGTATATTAAATTTTTTAACAAGTTCTATTAGTAATTTAATAAGTAGTCATTTGCGAAATAACAAGTAATTATTAAGCTCTTAACAAATATTGGTGTGGAAAGTGAAAACAAATTAAAAAATATATAAAAATCTGCATTGTTCTTTTAACAAGTTCATAAATGGTCATCAATAAATTTAATATGTAGTGGTTTTTATA